AAAACAATTTTCATCCACTAACCTTTTTACATACTTCAAGTGTGATATTAAGATAAGCTGCGTGTTTATTCTTTGAATAAACTGATATTTAGTAGTGGAACTGTGGATACACATGATTAGAATTGTAATTTAAAGTCAAAATTAGATAAATATATAAGAAAAAAAAATTCCGATATGACAAAAAGTGAATACTCATCTTTATAAATCATCGAAATAAATTAGAAAACTTTCTTTTAAAGTCTTCGGATAATTTTATTTTAAACTTTTTCTCGATTATTTTATCACAGAAAAGCAATGAGGGTCGGGGTCGCTACGCTATGTACATTTCCTTAGTCTCCATGTTTTCTTTGATTTTTTTTTTTTGTTATTTTAAGAGGATTCAACGTTTAGTGGCACATTGCAAAAGATTTTTTTTATAAAATATCAAAGGCTTGAATTTTACTGCCGTACTTTACTGTCTTTTAATATGAGTATGTATAGCTATTTTAACTTGCTTTATAAAATTAAGATAAGCTTTAAATATATTCTTCGAAAAGTTTTAAAGAACATTGATTTATTTTTTTCCGTGATGAAATTTTTTTTTAGAAAAACCACAACTAGTAATAATGATGATAAAATTAGGCTTGGGCTTATCTTGAAAATGGAAAATGTATTTACGGTTATCTCTATGGTATGCGTGGCTCTAGTGGTAAAAACATGCTACATCAGCGCATCCCTGTTGTGTTATTCTCCAGTTTTGTAAAAATCGATGCATTTTGAATTTTTTTTTTTAAAGTTAACTTTTTTCTTCATTCGTATTATACAAAATCATAGGATAGAGCTTCTTTTTTAAAGGGTGCTCCCAAATGCCAACACTCTTTTAAACATGTCACGTTTACATAGATCTAACTCAATTGAAAGTTTTACATTTTTTTTTTAAATTGTAAGTATCTTTTTAAAAAGTTATTGCTTTTTGCATAAACATATTTTCTTTAAAGTGTCTTTTTTATTTGTTTTTTTTTAATAAGACAGTTGCATATAATAATAATTTGTTTAAAATATTTACGGCTTCTAAAATAGCTTCCGTGGGTTGGACTGAAATAGATGCCATCTATTTTTAGATTAGCATCTATTTATAACTTGTAACGTAGACTTCGCCTATCAAGTTTTAAAAATAACGCAAAAGTTGTAGGGTAAAGTTAGTAATGAAAATTAGCTAATTAGGATAAACTCACGATAATAATCCCGTCTGATTGCCTAAATTTCAGCTTCGATTCCGGTTCTACATTTTTTTTATAAAAACCACCATCTGTAAATGTTATGATAATCCTTTATTTCTCGCCTTTTAAATATTTGTGCTTGTTTCGTATGGCTTTTTTTTAATTTCTATATTAATTAACTTTTTGTAAAAACCAAATGTTCACATATTCAAATTTTTTAACAACCACATTATAAAGAAGTCCCATATATCTTAATTTAACATTATTGTGCACCATACAATATAAATGGGATGTGATCGTGGGAGGGGGGGGGGGGGTGAAACTACTTGGCAATATGCCAAAATGTAAAAGAAAAGGAGGGAGTAATGTGATGAGCCATATATTTTTTTTTTAATTAGCATTCATGAAAAACATAATAAATGTTAGGATTATTTATATTTTAGGATGAGGGGTGATGGAACTGTATAATGTGATATTGGACTGGGAAGGGTGGGAATAGATATGTACAACGAAGTTGTGCCATGTCATTTGTGCACGGCCCCCAAACGCATTAGGTTATCACATGTTGAGTACATCACAAGTTTACCGTTTTAAAAAACTCGCATCACACATTTTAAAAGAAATGACCATCAAGGTCGTTTTACTTTTTAAACGTATGTAAGTCTTTAAATCACAGATATGATATTTCTTACCAGCTGAAATTAAAGAAAAAGGGAATTCAAATTTAACTAAAAAAAGAAATCAATATATATATATATATATATATATATATATATATATATATATATATATATATATATATATATATATATATGGAGAATGTATTTCTACTAATACTATTTCAACCTTTTCTGATCCTTTTTAGAATCTTGTTTCTCTCGTTATATTTTATTGGTAATGAAAGTATGGCTGTGTAAAACGGGTTAATAATTTGAATCATTGATAACAATAAAGATTTGCATATATAAAATTGAGTTATTTACTTCTTTTACTTATTTTCGCTAACGTGAGATTTCAAACTAAATAAGTGTTGATTTGATATTTCGCTGGCTTTCCCAAATGTCTTGCTGAAATTTACCTGTTCGTTTTGTGTGAATATTGTGTTTGTCTAATTCTATTGTGTTATTCTAGCTAAGCTTACGGTCTAGTAAGTCGAGCGTTGTTTTATTCTAGCTAAGCTTACGGTCTAGTAAGTCGAGCGTTGTTGTGATTTCGGTGTTGTTAGCCTGAAGTTTTAAATGTTTTTTTTTCTATTGTTTATTCAAGATTTACAAGATGTTTCTTCTGTTTATCGTCATTCTATTTTTAGAATTCCCTTTCTAATGTTTACCTTTAGTGTTAAATAAATAGTTAAAAATCAATAAATCAGTGGTCAAACTGTAAAGATGACAAGGTTACCTGAAACAGTGGGGTGGTTAGCATTTATATCGTCTGGTTTATGTCATCAAATCAAGTGTTAAGTGCATAATTTTAGATCTCAGACAACGTCCACTCTCTCTTCGGATTGAAAGTTGTCATCGACTAGTATTATATAATTAGCAACTACATTTTAGCATGATACACAATATTTATGAAATCCGAAATGAGTCTCGTAAAAACAGGCCCTTTAGGGCATGCCTGTTTAGCTCTATGGTCCATCCTGCACCGTAGCCAAGAATTCTGAAGACTGGATTGCATGATACAATCACAATAGTAAATATGTTAATTGGTAAACAAAAAAGTCTCATATATATAAAGGACTCATAATATAAATATGTATAAATATGAGTTGTTACACATTATTTAATTTTGTTTTTCGATCTTCTTCCACGCACATTATATTAAATTATTAATTTCGGCATCAAATATGTTTTAATGTCAATGACATAAAACACCAATGACAAGTGTTTATGGCCATGGGCGCCCTACCAGATGTATTTTACGAGCTAGAAACATGTTACAAAGAATCCCCCCTCCCCCAATCCGCTTGTAGTCCGCCATTAACTCACCTCCAGGTAAAAAAAAAAAAACCATTCTGTTGACACACCTGTTAATCACAGTCTCACGACACCAAAACCTGGACAACAAGGCAACAATATGATGACAGAAAACTTAAAGGGATAAAACTATAACATGTATTTTAGCTGGGTTATAGCATTATAAACATTTTAACACAGTAGAAGTTTTATTTTTTTTTTTTATTTTTATAACTCTTGCATTTTGTTGTAACGTCATACTTTGACGTCACGACCTATATTTTTATTTTATTTTGTTTTCGATCATCACTAACATTATTTTCTCCACCCCTCTCCTATCTATCCACCCATCCACCCTCCCACCCACCTCATTATAACGCCTCCATCAACATCAACACCGTCTTAATTCAAACATTCTGACCATTTCTATTACACACTAACCTAATCCGGGATTATACTAACCTTAACACCACCTAACTACACATCATCCGTTTCTTGAACTCCCCCCCCCCTCATTGACGACACTACATACGTCAATTACCAAAATGTCTTCGTCCCTTCTTTTACACCCCACTCCCACCCCCTTTTTTTTCTCATTCTGTACAACTTGGTCTTTTCTTTATTTTCACCTTCTTTCTCCGTATTATATCTGGTATCCATTATCGATACTCTAATACAAAAACTTCTTTCGAACCACCTCTTTCCCCTCATGTCAATATATTATTTCCCTACACACACATGCATACACCCCACCCTTACCAAAACCACTCGACTTGCATTCGACCGTTCTTCGTCGCTGCCCCTCTATCGTCTACTATCTTTCTTTCGAACCCCTACCCTCTACATTATTCTTCTACACTCTTCTTGTCTCCAACCCCACCCCGTCAACCACTCTATACCATATCCACCACCCCATACTTTATACACCACCCTGTACCCTGCCCACCTCCCTATACCCTGCCCACTTCCTTGACCACCACCCCATTCCTTATCCACAACACTAAATCCTATCCACCACCCTATCCACCAACCTATCCACCAACCTATCCACCAACCTATCCACCACTCTATCCACCAACCTATCCACCACCCTATCCACGACCCTATCCACCAACCTATCCACCACCCTATCCACCAACCTATCCACCACCCTATCCACCACTCTATCCACCAACCTATCCACCACTCTATCCACCAACCTATCCACCACTCTATCCACCAACCTATCCACCACCCTATCCACCACTCTATCCACCACCCTATCCACCACCCAATCCACCACCCTATCCACCACCCTATCCACCACTCTATCCACCACCCTATCCACCACCCAATCCACCACCCTATCCACCACCCTATCCACCACTCTATCCACCAACCTATCCACCACTCTATCCACCAACCTATCCACCACTCTATCCACCAACCTATCCACCACCCTATCCACCACTCTATCCACCACCCTATCCACCACCCTATCCACCACCATATCCACCACCCTATCCACCAACCTATCCACCACCCTATCCACCAACCTATCCAACACCCTATCCATCAACCTATCCACCACCCTATCCACCACCCTATCCACCACCCTATCCACCACTCTATCCACCACTCTATCCACCACTCTATCCACCACCATATCCACCAACCTATCCACCCATCTATCCACTACTCTATCCACCACCATATCCACCACCCTATCCACCGACCTATCCACCCATCTATCCACCACCATATCCACCACCCTATCCACCAACCTATCCACCCATCTATCCACCAACCTATCCACCACCCTGCCCACCACCCTATCCACCACCCCATACCCTGACCCCACCCACAGCCTCCCACAGTCCCAAGACCAGAAGAAAAAAGCTGAACGCCCGGATGAAAAGTTTCTCCCTGGACACGCCGGACCCGCCCAAACAGCTGCTGGGGATAGACGAGACGACCAAGAAGAAGAGTTCCTCGTTCACAAACAACTGTTTTGGTGAGTGGGAATTTGGTGGGTCATAGTTTGATTGGTGGTTATTTGGTGGGTTATATATTTTGGTAGGTGGTAAATTGGTGTGCTCTATTTCGATAGGTGGTAAATTAGTGGGTTATAGTTTGGTAGGTTGTAATTTGGTGGGTTCTATTTTGGTAGGTGGTAAATTGGTGGGTTCTATTTTAGTAGGTGGTAATTTGGTGGGTAATATTTTGGTAGGTGGTAATTTGGTGGGTTGTGTTTTTGGTAGGTGGTATATTGGTAGGTCATAGATCCGTAAGTGGTAATTTGGTGGGTTATATTTTGATGGGTGGTAATTTTGAATTATATTACTTGCAATAGGGCGGTAATTTTGTGGGTAGCTTTTTGCTAACTGATATTTTGGTTGGAGATAAATTGATGATTGGTAATTTTGGGAGGTAATGTGCTTGGTGGTATTTGGTTGATAGGTTAGAATTAACATTAAGGTGGAATGGGTCAGGTGGTAAATTAGTGTGGTGTTGGGTAATTATGTGGAGAGGTATGGGAGATTAAGATGGTAGGTTAACGGATTCGTTAATAGATTTTTTGCAAAGACTAAAATAAAGTACAAGTATACGATTTTTTTAAAATATATTTTCACAGGTAAGAAAATATGATCCTGACTGATACAGAGGCGTAGCGACCCTTCCCGGCGCCCGGGAACAAACTTTCAATTTGGCGCCCCCATCGGGAGCAAATTTTCCCCCCTCAAACTTTCGATTTGCCCCCCCCCCCCCAAACTATTTATAATGCAAAAATGCAGCTAAAATAACATTTTTATTTGTTTTTCCAACCCAATTTGGCGCCACCTAAGGTCGGCGCCCGGGGACATATGTACTCCCCCCCCCCCCCTCGCTACGCCTCTGGCCTGATATTTTAAATTAAATCTACTATTTACACGTGTACTGTCGTCCTAAATTAAATCTACTATTTGCACGTGTACTGTCGTCCTAAATTAAATCTACTATTTACACGTGTACTGTCGCCCTAAATTAAATCTACTATTTACACGTGTACTGTCGTCCTAAATTAAATCTACTATTTACACGTGTACTGTCGCCCTAAATTAAATCTACTATTTACACGTGTACTGTCGTCCTAAATTAAATCTACTATTTACACGTGTACTGTCGCCCTAAATTAAATCTACTATTTACACGTGTACTGTCGTCCTAAATTAAATCTACTATTTACACGTGTACTGTCGCCCTAAATTAAATCTACTATTTACACGTGTACTGTCGTCCTAAATTAAATCTACTATTTACACGTGTACTGTCGCCCTAAATTAAATCTACTATTTACACGTGTACTGTCGTCCTATATTAAATCTACTATTTACACGTGTACTGTCGCCCTAAATTAAATCTACTATTTGCACGTGTACTGTCGTCCTAAATTAAATCTACTATTTACACGTGAACTGTCGTCCTAAATTAAATCTACTATTTGCACGTGTACTGTCGCACTAAATTAAATCTACTATTTACACGTGTACTGTCGTCCTAAATTAAATCTACTATTTACACGTGTACTGTCGCCATAAATTAAATCTACTATTTGCACGTGTACTGTCGCCCTAAATTAAATCTACTGTTTACACGTGTACTGTCGCCCTAACTTAAATCTACTATTTACACGTGTACTGTCGTCCTAAATTAAGTCTACTATTTGCACGTGTACTGTCGTCCTAAATTAAATCTACTATTTACACGTGTACTGTCGTCCTAAATTAAATCTACTATTTGCACGTGTACTGTCGTCCTAAATTAAATCTACTATTTCCACGTGTACTGTCGTCCTAAATTAAATCTACTATTTACACGTGTACTGTCGTCCTAAATTAAATCTACTATTTGCACGTGTACTGTCGTCCTAAATTAAATCTACTATTTACACGTGTACTGTCGTCCTAAATTAAATCTACTATTTGCACGTGTACTATCGTCCTAAATTAAATCAACTATTTGCACGTGTACTGTCGTCCTAAATTAAATCTACTATTTGCACGTGTACTATCGTCCTAAATTAAATCTACTATTTATACGTGTACTGTCGCCCAGGTCAAACCAGCGTGGCAGTGGTGGCCAGCAAGAAGAGATTTGGGTTCGGCAACAGGTCCACGTCACTGGAGATCGAGGACGTCAAGAGAAGGAGCAGAAGTTCCTCGCCCCAGTTGTCTCCCGTAAGGCTTGCTGTTTTTTTTTAATGGGGGGACGTGTTGTCATGACGACGAAAACACGGATGGGCGGCAGAGGGGGGAGGGGAAGGAGGAGCTACTCTGAAATCAAAGAATAGTTCAAAATAGAGCAGTAAACGTTGAAGTGTCATAGACTAGACCAGGGGTGTGCAAAGTGCGGCCCACATGCGGCCCGCCACAGAGTTTTTTGTGGCCCGCCAGACATTCAGAAAACCCCGCCTTGAAGTGACACGTGCTACATGTCCGCGACTGAAAGGTCGTCTCGTATTTTTCCATTAGAGCGCAAGCAGTGAAAATACGCACTTCTCCGATGATGACTTTTTACTTTCTCGTATATACGAAGTATAGAGAAAGTATTGTAATCGTGCACAAAAATAACATTAAATTTTGACAGTTTTCACCGTTTTACTCCTCAGTCCTTCATCACATCCGGAGTATAGAGGACTTATTTTAATCAGGCAAAAATTATAAATACAAATATATAAACGTTTTGGCGTTTTATGCGTTATCGAGTCGTAAAAACTGGACTTTGCAATTCTGTCCGTATGTCTGTGTGTCTGTGTGTAAACACGATAACTTGAGTGCCGTTACAGCTAGGTTGATGAAATTTCATATATAAGTATTTTATCAAAATCGTAGATCCTGATCAACTTTTGAGCGATTTCCGAATACCGGAAGTGGTACATTTTCTACTTTGAATTTTTCAAAAGCCTATAAGTTGCGTACTATTTTAGATAGATGCATGAAATTTCACACGTAAGTAAAAGATCTAATTCTCTACCTTCTGTCAAATTTTGAGTAATTTCCGTTGACCGGAAGTAATAATTTACGCTATTTTTGATTTCTCGAAAAAAAAAACGCATGTAAATTTATAAAGTACTAATAATATCCCGCACTTTTAAAAGCATCTTATTAGGCGTTCGCCTGGTGTGGGACGGAGTGGTCTAGCGGTAGAGAGCTGGACTGCTAACCCGTTAGTCTCGAGTTCAAATCCGGGTTCAAGTCAGTAGACCGTCCCTGAGTCCACCCAACTCTGATGGATACCTAGCTCCTGTTAGAGAAAGTAAGGGCGGCTGGGCATAGTGCTGACCACACCATCTCTTCATATGCCGAGGTCACAGAAACAAGTGAACTCTACTTCACTTGCCCCATAGACCGTCAGGTTCGAAAGGGAAACTTTTCACTTGGTGTGCAATTCTTTTTTTTTTTACGAGATTCTATTCTATTATAAAAAGTTTAAGTAATTAAAAATGGATAACAAATATTGTCTATGTCCTGAGTTGCCATCCCTCGTAATTTTATATTAGAATATTCGAGAGAGTTTAGGGGAGATCACTCCCGGTTTATTTTAAAAACTGAATTACAATTCATTTCATTACTCACTTTCCATAGATGTATACATTTTCTTCAGGCATCTTTACCGTTTTTAACACGTTTTTAACACGTTTTTCTTAACTCGGCTTCGCGTTTATTTGTTTGTTTGTGTGTTTGTTGTTAAAATTGACATCGAAAATTAGCCCACTTCTGATTGCTCTAGAGATCTGAAATTTGGCATGCAGGCTATTTTCGCCTAACAATTTCAGATGCAATCATAAAAACTAGCAATTAGAGATATAAATTACCTTAATTAAATTACGCCCCAAGGACCCTAAAATTGAGGACATGATTTCTAAAGATACCGACAAGACTGGAGGCCTATTGATACAGTTACTTCGGCCCCAATCGATGTGAGCGCGCTGGCCGTGATCGTATAGTGGTTAGTACTTCGCGTTGTGGCCGCGACAACCCAGGTTCGAATCCTGGTCACGGCCTGTAGGCTGCTGTGGGTCTCGCGCTGCCAAGCTCACATAACAATTTCAGATGCAATCATAAAAAACTAGCAATTAGAGACCTAAATAAATTAGCTTAATTAAATTACGCCCCTTCTCTGTTTAAAGCGTATCGGTCGCTCAAGATTTTTAGTCCGTGTATTTAAAAACACTTAGTCAAGTCATACTTAATCAAGTCATTAGATAAAGTAGAAAATAAACTATATAAAAAACTTTTTAAAAACCACGTTTTTCATGTGTAGCAACGGACTAAAAAGGAGAGAATAAAATACTTAAAAAAAAACTTTTTAAAAAACCACGTTTTTCTTGTGGACTAAAAAGTAGAAAATAATTTTTTCTTCCGATCCTAGGGGATCTACCAATGACTGCTCGTAGATTTTGTGCTTCCTCGAGCTGTGCAAGTTCTTGTGATGACAAAAAACGTGGGTCGGGCAGATTTATGATTAAAGCGAAAAGCACACAACACACGAATTTTGGAAATGTGATGGTGAACGTACCCACGTTTTTTGTCATCAAATGTATGAACAGTCATTCTAATGATAAACAATGATCCGCATTTACATTTATTTACTATTCTATGTATTCGTATTTCAAATCAACATATTATAAGGTTGGTTGTCTCCCTTTAATATTTTTAATTGATTTAAGTAGTATAAGGGAAGTAACTATGGCACATTTATATTCAATTGAAAGTTTTTAAATAATTGTAACTGTGTATAATATATCATTCCATTATATAATTTATTCATATCAAAGTTAAAATAAAATGGCTGTAAAAGTTTTCTAAAATACTCCCCCGTGATGAAATCCTGCCTTCAGTATGTAGACAAGCAATAAGAAATCATTTTTTTTTAACAGAAGTCAAAAAAGAAAGAAGCAGACGTCTATGTGTCGCTGTATCACTTTCGGGGCAAGGAGAAGGATGATATGGACCTGCGGTGAGCTATCTAATAATTAATCTTTACCAGATAATAATGCAATGAAAGAGCTTGTCTAATGGCTGAACGGGGGGGTCATCCATAAATGACGTCACACTCGTAGGGGAGAGGGGGGTCCGTAATTTTGTGACGATGTGTGATGAGGGGGAGGGGGGGGGTTCAGATGTTGCGACGTCAAACTTTTGCATTATAAAAAAGCAATGTTAGAATAATAATTTTAGAAGTTATTTCGCGTTTTAGATAACTGTTTTTTGTGACGACGTGTGACGGAGGGGAGGGGGGAGGTAAAAATCGTCAAAAAAGCGTGACGTCATTTATGGATGACCCCTAAGAAGAGTTTGAGAAAAACTAGTAGACCTAGATCTATAAGTAATAAGTAAATAGTTGATGTTTCCTGGCCAAGCCATGTATATACAAATGTTAACTCATAAAGGCCAATAAAGGGATTATATGCCCAGCTGTCTTTCTTTAAAACAGTTCCCATTAAAGGAACTAAGCAATGGCCCACAGACTTAAGCACTGAATACCTACAGCACCAAAATGTAGTGAGAGGCCTACAGTCCAATGAGTTCTTTAAGCTAGAGGCCTACAGCCCCATGAGTTTACCATTTCAGGCTAGAGGCCTACAGCCCCATGTGTTTACCATTTTAGGCTAGAGGCCTACAGCCCCATGTGTTTACCATTTCAGGCTAGAGGCCTACAGCCCCATTAGTTTACCATTTCAGGCTAGAGGCTTACAGCCCCATGTGTTTACCATTTTAGGCTAGAGGCCTACAGCCCCATGTGTTTACCATTTTAGGCTAGAGGCCTACAGCCCCATCTGTTTACCATTTTAGGCTAGAGGCCTACAACCCCATGTGTTTACTAATGTAACAAGATGTTGCTCTTTTCAGGCCAGGCTGTCGTGTGGTGGTCACTAACAGCTCTGACCCAGACTGGTGGAAGGTGGGAGTTTATTTTAATTATACTCTCCATAATCATTCTCAAAACTCTTCATCATTATCAAAGTCTTTTATCTTATCTAACAAAACAACTCCAATATTAATACTAAGCTTTATCGAAACCCTCTAATCTAAAATTATCAAAAACTAATGTGTAGCATTAGAAATATTAGAATAATGTGTAATAGCTATAACTTTGATCCATTAGTTTGCTACATCTATCCTAATAATACCATGTTGTATACCAATCATACCTCTTCATACACTATACTGTAATGGTTTTCTCAATTAAAACCACAGCCATTGAGTTAAATCTGTTATTTTCCAATAGGGCAAGTGCAATGGGCGTTCTGGCTATTTCCCAGCTAAATATTTGCTCAAACTTACTAAACATCAGCGTGTGTATCAGGTCACACATACAATGAACTTGACAGAAATTGATGGGTTAGGAGGAATGAGACTTCATAAAGATCAGGTAACTCATCTAAAATAATATTACTCTTTGTATTTTCTCTGTTGCCTCCCTTTGACCATAGAATTTTTTTATATGGCTTCACTATTTTCTTTCTTTGGGTACTTGTCCTGTTCAATATAAAAATAAAACATTAAATATAGATCTAGATCTACATCCCAGTAATAATTTTCAGACACCGATTTTAACTTAACAATGTACTTATAGCTTAAAGATCAAGTAACTCATCTAAACAACTTACATTTTGTATTTTCTCTGTTGCCTCTCTTTGACCATAGATTGAATGTTAACATTTTTATTCCTTGTCCTGTTTATTGAGGATTTTCATAAAACTTAAATACCTGTAACAATTTTTTGACTAAATTAATCTCACAAGAAGTGACATTTAATCTTTAATTTTTTTTAAATTAAGTTGTATATTTCTGCCATGTTTCGTTTTTAAATGTAATTAGTATTTCAAACTCAACATAATAAACACTGTTTAGTAATTGCCTTAAGTAATCATCTGTAATTTAATAAACTCGAAAGAATTCCGTTTCAATATGTTTACATGAGCAGGCTAAAAGATTATGACAAAATGAGACACATACATCAAAAAACTTATCTGAATGAGCAGTTGGGAGGTTTGGAATGCATAGTTAAAAGTTTTATTTGTGAGTGGGGGCTGGGAGAAATTATGTGTAGTTTTATTTGTGGCGTAGAGAATTTTAGTATTTTGTGATGATGTGTAAAAGTGCATGGCAATCCTATGAAACTGCTGTCATCACTCAATGCTCCATTTATTTTAATTAATATAACATTTAATTCTAAATTGCCCATTGCTTAGATTGTGCTGGGGATGTCGGAGCCTGAAGAGGGAGCCATTGTGATACACGTCAAGGCTGCGAACAACCGTGAGGCCATGTGCCCCGCCCAGTTTTTGTCTGAAGTCTGATACCTGCTTGCTCGACAACCAAGGGGGATAAGCATGTTTTCCACAAGTTTGCATTTAATTTCAGACAAGATTTTTGTAATTGGGTAGACTGACTATTGACTGCAGGCAGTCATAAAAGGTAACAAAAAATGTTTTTATTGAATGTACCATCCTGCTCTAACAATCAATAGTAAATTAAAAGTAATAAGTTTACACTGAAGTTTAAAAACAGGGTAGATCACTTTTTCACAGTTGAAAGTTCAGTTAACACCCTTGTTACAAACTTAAAAGCTGATTATGTTATTATATTTTTGTGTAGTACATTTTTCATTCATGGTAAAGTAAATTAAACTCTACTTCAGTTTTATTTTCAATCAACATTATGGTACAAAGAACAACTGCTTCGTGCTTACATTTTATTAAAGTATCTTAAATCAAAATTCCATATATTGAAATTATTTTTTTTAAAACCTACTTTTTTGGTAGTACTTTATAATTACAAAAAAAAATTTAAAACTTAAACTTTTTTTTTTTGAGAACATCATCTAGATCTAACGTAAGAAAACAACTACTATTCAGGTATACATGTTTGTGCGTACTCAAGAAAAGATGAATAAATATGGGTGAGGTCTGTGAGCATATATTTTATTAGTGACATTCCAATGCAGGTGCAATAATAAACATTTTTTAAAATGACACTGCCATTTTACAGTCTTAATGTCATGTAATTATACAGATATTGTCATCAGAACTATGTAAGTCCCCAGTGGATTTTTAGGCACATTCCTACAAGTACCATGTCCATAAGCCAAGAAAACACTCGTACTAAAATGGTTGTTGTACTAACCTAACCCTATCCCTCTAACTAAAACTAGAAACAGAAACATAACTCTAATGGGAAACTTTTGTTTCTTTTTTGTGGTTTACAATTAATTCCCTTTATTGTGTATGTAGTTTTCTTTTTTCTACTGTTTCACTTTCATAAATATATAACTTCTGCATAAATTATGTGTAGGATAAATTTGTTTTCATTTCTTATGTAGCCTGCTTGATAAGTTATGCTGTTTGTTGGTGGTCCATAAATGATTTCACTCAACTGTGACTTTTGTGACTGTGCTGTGAAGTAACTAGGTTTCCTAAATGATTTGTACTTGTAGTCTCATAAATTTCCTAGAAATAACAAAAATATCAAAACCTATATAAAAGCTTTAGAATGCACTAAATTTTTTTTTAAATCAACATTAGTTTTCTTTAGATATAACAAAAAAAAAAGCTTTTATTTTTAATGTTATGTAACTTGTTATTATAAAGGTTTTTATTTTAAAGAGTTTTTTATTTTATTAATTATTATCAAACAATTAGTGCCCTATATATATTGAATCTTTATCACCTCACTTATGTTGACACCCCATATGATAAAAATGTCTTTGAAACCTGAGCATTGATTTTACATAGCATATATCTGCCAAGTTGTTGCTATCTTTATTATTTCATTTTCAAAAGCCTTGATTTTAGATATCATGCTTGAATTTGTAGATGTCCTAGAGTTCATTCAGCTCTGATCGGTACCTAACTCAGATTAGGGAAAGTAAAGGTGGCTTATCATGGTGTTGAACACACTTTGCTTAGTATGCAGACGTCACAGAACCAGGTGAACTCTTCTTCATCTATCCCATTGACTGCCAGGTTTGGTATAGTAACTTTACTTGTGTGCTTACTAATACTATCGTCTGTGGTCCCAGGTTTAAAATATCAATAAATTGAAATTAGCTGACTTCAGTCATCCAACTATTACTTAACCTTTATCTCCCATTTTACTATTGAATATAGTCATCGTTATATTACTTTATAATGACTAATGTTATATTTAGTATAAAAATAATTAGTTATAAGGAAAAGTGTCAAAGTTGAATCCTAAAAATCAGGACGACGAAAAAGTGTGTATGTGTAATGGTAATTTCAATGAAGTGAATGGAACTTTGTGAAGCCATTTAAGGTGATGTTCTGGCCTTTAGTGATGGTCAGTGGCTAAACAGCACTAAATGTTTTGTGAAGTCATTTATGGAAACCTACTAAACTGAAGAAAATGATGGGAGAATCATTCATTGCTTCCAATGAAAACATTTATTACTTGGCTATGATGTTATTATTTATTGTAATTTAAGAGATGGATGACTCCTACTTAATTTGTGTACATAACATATTAGCCTTACAATGACTACTTTTTTCATTTTAAATTTTATTTTTATTTTAGTGTATGATTTATTTTTGTTCCTTTATATATTGTAAGATGTTAACATTTTTAAGCACAGTGATAACTTTTCTTGTCACTACAAATTCTTAACTTTTATAATAATAGTTTTTAACGTTAACAGAAAATGTTTGTTGTTTAGTTTTATTTATTGGATCAACTGCCTCACTCATTTATTTAAATTAAATATAACATGCATTGAAAATGTAAATTTAATTTGTATATTACCTGTCCAATGTCTTTATAGATGTGACAATACATTCTCATCATGGCTTGATGTTTTAGAATTTAGTTTCATGTTACGGATCATCATTAGAGCAACATCCATGCTAAAGCCATACTCCGTCTTTCACACATAATTTTTTGTTCCCTCATTTGTGATATTGTTTTTGAAATTGTAATGCATTGTTTGGTGCTTTTATTGCTATTTATGAGCTTTTATGGTCCAAAGAAATTTTTTTTTTTCAATTTTTGAATATGAGGTCTTTTGATTTATGGAAACTGCAGTCCATGTAAATGGTAAAAATTTGTTAGGTCTTTGGAATTCGAGTTTTTTATGTACCATGGAATGTTATTGTTATGTTTTATGGTCTTTGGAATTCATGTTTTTATGGACCATGGAATGTTATTGTTATGTTTTATGGTCTTTGGAATTCGTGTTTTTATGGACCATGGAATGTTATTGTTATGTTTTATGGTCTTGGGAATTCGTGTTTTTATGGACCATTGAATCCAAAGAAATAAGGGAAATCCTCATGACCAACATGCCAACAAGTTGTTAAATGAGGTCCAAAAAAACTAAAGGCAGGTTTGGAGAAATTACAGCTGATGTTGAAAAGCACAATAACAAAAAGTTACGTTGACAATGTGATGGGTATGTTTTTTTAATCGGTGTGATATCGATTCAACATGACTTTCAAATTTTTATCTGGTATTAAACACAATAATTTACTTTTACTTCCAGTAACTGAAGGAGAAAAAATATAAATACCAGAGTTTAGTTCTTGTGAATACACCTGTGTTTAGTTGAACTTTATTATCTGTTTAGTTTATTCAACCAATGCTGCTTAGGCAACAGAGCGATGATAATATTTGATAGCTTTAAATCATACATCAAACATGGCTCATGTTTTTCACTTAACTGTCTTAAGTGAATAATTGTATTATTCAAATATATGGGTTTACTAGAAAAACTAATTTAAAATCTGATTGATTTGTAACTTGCAAAAGCTTGTTTTTTTAAGTAAATCAAGTCACTAATTGGAAAAGTTCATAATTTAAACCCTAGTAGAATATTTATTGTCCCCAAATAACCCAGTTTATGTTGTCCATTCAGCCATTGCAGATCATTTACTTCATTTACATAATACATCATAGATATTAGTTTTAATTGCTGATTGTTTAAAAAAAAAAATTAATTTTACAAATTGTTTTTAAAACAAAATTGTGCAGATCATTCATATTTTGATGCCTGAATTTATCTATTTATCCCAGAAATCTTGTACTTGAGCAACCATGGTTCAGGTAAAAAAAAAATTTTTTACATGTGATAAATTGTTTCTACACAGACAGTACACTATTTTAGTGTACAGAAATATTTTTTTCATCATCCATATTTTGTGATGTTATAGTAAGTGTTGATCAATTATCATATGTACTGCAATAATTAAAGTAGACCTGATGTTTGGTTTTTTTTAATTATAATTACATTAATATCAAATTGGTTAACTTTAATTGGGTGAAGTATTGATTGGTAGCTTTCCATTCTGTAAATCATATTTTACATTTCAAGTAATTTTGTTTTCAACAATCATAGTAACTTTTTTTAGCATGTAAATAACTTCATTTTTCAATATTTTAGCTGATACCAAGTTAATCGCATGTCTTATGATGAGGTGAGTTGAGCCAGGCATTAACACAATAACCTCCAGTTGTCAAAAAGAACCACATTAGTAGAGACATCATTGAAATTACTTATTTTCAAGAAAAAAATCTGAATGTTAAGGTTTAATTTACTAAACTACCTGAATTATTGTTTTAAATGAAGATGTTGCAGATGACATTGTTCATTTATAATCAGAGTTAATTTTTCTTTTGACTGTATTTCAGACTTTTTTTTAGCAATCAAAATGGCACAAAACAATTTTAAGACATTTAGTACTTTTTTTTTTGTTGGGCCTAAAGTTGTTTACCTTTAACAATGTTTTGCACAAAATTTTGAACTTGCTTAGTTAAGGGTTGCCCACAAAAGATGTCACACAATTATGGCAAAATTTGTATCTCTACTCCCTGTATTATCATGGATGTCCAGACTCCTCATTATCTATGTTAAAGCAAGAATTGTTTTTTAAAAAACCTTCGGCTCGCGAGCCGCATGAGGCTCTTTTGATATCAAGATGCGGCTCTCCAGCTCTTTGAACAAATACTAATAATCTTAATAAACAATAAAATATTTTAAATTTTAAAAAAATGTTAGTGGCTCTTTAAAACCAGGGAAATTTTGAAAATTGTAACTTTTGGCTCTTCCGCTTCAAAAGGTTGCCGACCCCTGGTCTAAACTATCCCCAATATGTGTGGAACACAATTATGGGCACCCCTTTCAACTTAATTATTTTATTTATACTAATCAGTTCTTTTCATTTATAAAGTCAATGAAGAGTACATTTGTTTTAAGTTTGAATTTTTTAATTCAATTTATCAAAAGATTTTACATTAACAACATTAACATTCATTATAATAAAAAAAATACTTCATTTAAAACATAATTGGGTTTTAAAACGGCAGCTCAGCTGCCTGACATGATTTGAGCACCTGAACGGCGTAACAAAACTTTGACAACAGTTGTATAATTTTGTTACAATAAAAGTTCATTCATACAGTTAACTAATCTATTAGACAAGTTTTGTAAATGTACGCTTGTGAATCTATACTTGGACACACATGGGACAGTTGTTGTACACAATCAAGGAATGGTCAAGTAAAGGATGAAACCGCCTTTGGTTTAGGTCAATATGCTGAGCACGTTAGCACATGATAGTATATGAGGTAGAGGTGACCACTGGACTGATCAATCAACACCTTTACATACTTTAGCTGTCAAATTCTAACTGTGCGTTGTTCTTTTTACTAAACCAAGTCAAGATACAGAAAATAAGTCTTCAATTGTCAAACTCACTCTTGCTATTAAAAATTACAGCTTAACAATAAAAATTGTGGATTTGTAACAAAACTTGAAAATCACATGCAAATGGAACAATAACAAAAAAATCTAGACCACAATGTCTTCACAACAGTATATAACAATAGTTTCATTTTTAATTTAAAAATTAGTATTAAAAAATGTAATTAAAGTTATTTCTCTCCATTTAATAAATTGTAGTAATTGGTAATTAAAAGAATAAATAAGCTTATGAACACATATGGCATTATGGATATAAGTTAGAACTAACGATTCTTTTTTAAATTACCAATAACTATCAACTGTTCAATGAAACTTAAACTGCTAATTGTAACTATTTACAAGAATGATTGAACAATGTACAAAAACAGTTTGTGTAAAAACATTCTGAGAAAATATGAATTATAAACAGGGAGAGGAAGCTCTAATCAAATCAAGCAGACACCATGTTTTTTAACAGTTTTTTAAAAATAGGCATAAAGTAAGAATTTATGATAGACAAAAATGACTTTTTTTAAAAACAAACTTTTACATATCTACAACTTCAAACATATAAAAACTTAAACCTGGTATTCTAAAAAATCTGTTTAAAATAATACATCTCCTCTCTAGCTAGATGGTTACACAGCCTGCTATCATCTGCAGAAGTTTTTTTAAAGCAAAAGCAGTTTTTTTTTTCTTTTAAAACTTTAACTGGATAGACAGAATTTGGCACTAGCGTATATACACTGAGTGGAATATTTACAGTTGTAAATGATGACCCTAAACCACAGTGGAAAGTTCAAGTTTTGTATGTACAATAAAGAGAAATGCGTTAGAAGAACAATTTTGTGATTGTCTTGTGGTATACAGCTATTAGTTTTTTGATAAAAAATCACCATGGATGATTTCATGTACAATTGAAATGAAATTTTATGAACAAAGATCAAATATTTCCAAGGTATAAAAAAAAGTAGCTGCCATAGAAGGTTATAGTTTAAGTCAACCACTAACTCATTGCAGGTTGATGAAAAAATTATTTACAGAAACCAGAACAGTAAATTCATAGAAGTTATAAGCCTTTCCCTAAAAATATATCTGTCGTTTATTTTTTTGTACAATACTAATCAATTAAAACATCTATTCCTAATACTCATTAAATATTTACTAGTAGATCCATCAAACTGCAGTGAGTACTTATTGAAACAGACATTAAAATTTAATAGCCAGATGAGTGCAAAAATAAAATTTTAATTTCCATACACAGGTTATCTACGATTTTATTGTTATCTATCATTATTTTTAAAATAATTACTTCATTCTATATTGTTTTTGGTCTCATAAAAAATGTATATGGCTTTTATCTAATTTTGCCCTTACTAAAAACAAGATCAGGGACCACATATTTTTTATAATCACCAGAATCAAAGAAAAGAATTGCAACTTTGTAAGCTATTAATTTTGCGCCTGTATGATATGTACAATTCAAGCATGAAGACGTGAAAAAAGGAAACTTTCAGGATTTAATTACTTGTGTACATATTTATCAACTCATCTGTCAGAAGGATCATAACAGAAATAAAAAACTGACACAAGCAAGGCACTCTGAATACATCCCAATAATTTACAATCACTAATAGACATACCTTATCAAGCATTTTTTTTTACTCCGCAATTTTTTTAGTGGAATGTTTTCTCAAAATAATTGTTACCTAATATTAGACATGCATTCATTCTATCAAAAACAAAAATGTATTCATTTCTGCTACTAGTGTAATCAAGATATGTTTTTGATAAATGTACAAGTACAAAAAAACTAACTTCTTCCTTGAAAAATGTATTTAAAGCTGATATGTTTGAAAAAAAAATGTTTTTAAGTCCATATGATAAAGAAATACTGGTAATGTTACCTCACTGTGAGTGTATTTCATTTTTCTATCCAACTGTTGAAAACAAATTAAGTGTAAAGTGTTCTCCGTGTAGGTGTGGTGACCCCAAATAGGTTGGCCCGGACAGTCACGGGGGACGGGTTTTGTAGCTGGACTGGGCTACTGTTGATTATGTTGTTGTACAACGGATGGACGGATGGACTGTTAAAGAAATCTGAAAATATATCAACCAGGAAATGTTTTAAAAACCTAGTGGTCTTCATAACTCCAGGGTTTACAAAATTATAAATTAAATCAAGTAACATAAAAACAAGACTACATTAAAAACTTTAAAAAAAAACATTTTAAAATAAAAAGCTTGCAAATTAAATAGACACCATTGCACTGAGATAGATGTCAACCATACACAAAACCATTATGAAACTAATTTCTACAGCCTAGACTCAGAAATCTATAAAACACATACACAGGTATTACACACCTCTGACCTTTTATTTTAAAAAATTAAAAATCTAAAATGCACAACTTTTTATATAAATTTTGTGTGTATCAGCATCAACCAATATTTATTTTACTGCTTGTCACACATAAAGTACAGAGCAGCATAAATAAATATATGCATTAATAATCAAAGTAAAGCACATGCAACAAATTCTATGACTAATTAATAAGCCTTTCCCAACAGCCATACCTGCTGGCTAATTTAGTGACTAAAAAAAATCGAGCTCTTATTCTAAACTGTTAGCAATGTGAAGCTATCTAAGAGTGTCAGCCAAGATTATAGCACGATCATATTCACATTGAGCATTCTATTTAAATACTTTAAAATATCTAGCTACAATCTGAAAGCTTACAATTACATCGCAGGTTCCCAATCTATGGATAGCGACCCTCAGGGGATCGCCAAGGGCTTTCTGGGGGTTGCTGACTTGTAGACTAAACCAAACAAAAGTATTAATTTTTATTGAATGGTGGTTGCAGGACAATAAGCTTTTATAAAAAGGGATCGCCACTCAAATAAGTTTGGGCACCTATGGCTTTCATATTAATACTTCAGTAGGCTTTATTCAAAAAATTCTAGGTACTACAATATTTCATTCAAACACAATAAAAGCAACCAGTTTGCATAATATCACTTTAAAAGTTAGTCAAGTACATTGGCAGACTTGCTATAAAGTATAACAATTTGCAAGACAAGCTAGAAAATTTAATGTTTCTGTCGCGTGTATTTTTAAAATAAATTAGTAAAAATGGCTCTCAATTAAAATAATTTGTATTTGCTAATTAACATTTAAAAAGAACTGTTGGTCCTCTTTAACAGTTGACCATTAAAAGTAAAGAAAAATAAATGCCTCTTGAAAATATACAATTAACATGCTATTTAGCTTCCTAAAATATAACTGAGAAAGTGACAACAGTTGATAAAATTGATACTTTCAGGCTAAGAGACTATATTCAGTTTGACAAGAAAATAACCACATGCAAACAAAACAAAATTAAAATCTTATTGTTTAGTGAGTCTTTTCTGGGTCCCATTTTAAAATTTGATGTTTATTTATCCAAATATAATTTTGTGTTATTTTTCAAACCATCTAGTGCTTAAAAAATTATATTTGAGAAAATTAGGAGCAGAGAATAACTGCACAACCTCATAACACAGTTATGAGTGAATTTTTTTTAATTAATCTCGATTTTTGGGCTACATATTAAGAGAACATTTAAATTAATTTTGTTTAATGATGTTAAGTCTAAAAAATAAACTTTTGTATACAAATACAATTAATATTTAACAATTTTATGTTTATCTTTGAGAAACCTTTTTTTTCACACATGAAGAAAATGCATTACAAAAAAAAGCATTGATCCTTAAAATGAAAAATTATAAACTCATCAAAAAAAAAAAAAAAATCTAAGGCCAGTTTTTGATAAATTTCTGAGACAGATATGGCTGCTAGAGAATAATGGCAGTGTGGTATTCACCTATCTATGGCACTAGGGCTTCATGCTACCTGTACTGTGCGAATGTAGACTTGGGGATGCCCGAATCGTCAATGGTGAATGTGTTGACAGGTGGGAGTGTGAGGAGGGTGAATCACAGATGAGATCAATATCTAAGTTGCTTTCATAGTCATCATCCCATGCTGAATTCTAGAGGGATTATAACACACAAGTTTAGAAACACATGATAAGCTAACAAAAGGTAGAAAAATTCAAAAATAATACTTGGTTTTAAACTTGGGACCAACTAATATTTTGTGGTTACAATCTATAATTGTATATTATTTTAAAAAGCTACATAAAAAAATATTGTGTGCAAATATTATAGTACAAGCAAAAATATATATATTATATTAAATCAAATGGTTGGATATTTTTTAAATTATACAAATGACTATTTTGTACATACATATTCCTATGTTGAAGAAAGATGTGTTTAAAATTTACTTGGTTTATTTTATATTATCAAGTGCTAAATCTGGTTATGAGAGAAAAATTAAACTTACTTGCAAAACAAGATCTGTAAGGGTATCACTGTTAAACGCTAAAGAGCCATCTAAATACATGTCTGAGCTATCCATCTTCATCTGATGCTGGACCTTGGGTATAGGAGAAGAAAGGTAGTCATGCCTCATGGGGGTGAAGTCTCTCTGGACAGATGGGGAGTACTCCGCCTTGGTTGGTGTCTGCGGTTCTGATTTTTCTATTCGGATATTTGGGTGGTATTTTTCTATCTTGATTTGTGAGTACTCAGTCTTAACTAATGGAGAATACTCTGCTTTTGTGGGCGTGGCTTCGGCTCTTAATGGAGTACACGGGGAGGAATCTGGAGACTTTTTCTTTGAATAATGAAGTCCGGCCTGGCCTTTCTCGATAGCCTCTAAATTCTCTGAAAATTCACATATTATACTGTATTATTCACTTTCCGTAATTAAAAATAATAAACATGGAATATTCAGAATCAAATAAAGGAAATTTTTTTAAAATAAATTGTTTAAATAATCAATCAACATAATTAAAATAACATGCTGTAATTACCAACCTGGATATGCCATACTACTTAGTAATCCTGCAGGGTCTTTCTTGCCCCACTTTGAAATTTCATCTTCCATCTTTGAAATTTTTGCTGGATTGAGGGCCCATAAACAACCTTTTTTAGCTCCTTGACTTAACTTTGGGTTGTCCACTTTGGCAAAACATTTATTCAATGAAAGATTATGTCTAACTGAATTCTGAAAAGAGAATATTTAATATGTTTTTAAAAAAATTAAAAATTAAGACTGTACAGATGTATTTAAAAAACTGATGTTATAAAAAAATGAAAAGAACATTGCTTCTTTGTTAAGAAGTATATAAAATTAATAAAGAAAATCTTACCTTCCAACCGTCAGGAGCAGTTTTAAAATAAGGAAAATTCTCACTATTGAAATGAAAAGAAGAAAATTTAAGTTGGATTATTATTTTACAAACATTAAAATTCAACATTTACTGATTTAGTTATTTGAAAATAATGTAAGAGCAAAACTTACCACATAAAATTGTAAATCTCACTGACTGGTAGACTGCCATTCTTACTGTTCTTCAAAGCAAGAGCAATCAGACAGCTGTAGGAAAAAACTGGCTTTGGGTAAGTCCTTTCTTCACAGTTGGTTGTCGATGTGACAGTGGCTGTATCCGAATGGTTCCCATTAGAGGAAGACATACTAGAGACATGAACATTCTGGAACAGTTGCTAGAATAAAATTGATATGCCATATTAAAACAAAACTTAGTATGGAAATTTTTTAATTAATAAAAAAAAAATCAAAATTTATTATTATTTAGAGGATTGAATAAGGGATAATTTTATTATGAAAATAAAACTGATTAATTCATGTGATATATATCTTTATGCTGCAACAATAGTTTTTAAGATACTTAAATTAAGCATACCTGTGGTTGAACACCTGTCTGTAATCTACCTAACAAAACAGGCGAAGCCTGTGATGGAGAAAGAAGATTATTCCCAGATTTCAGCAAGACACGTCCACATTTATCTGTAGTGATGGCATGTAGTTTTTGTGGTGAGGATAAAACATACTGCTGTACTCCTGAGTTTGAGCGATTAGGGGAGTGTGACGTTGTAATAGTCAAGCCTGTCGGCAATGCACCATTTGTAGTAGTCAGGACAAATGTTTGTTGCTTGAGAGGGGAATTCCTAGAAGAGGTAATGAGATAATTTTGTGTTTTTCCTGGTGAATTTTGGGGACTGTCGTGTGTGGCTACTGAAAGGATACGAATGGTTGGATGTTCTTGGTGTATAACATGGGGTGTAGATGCTAGCTGCGATGCTTGTTGCTGCTGCTGCAAGGACTGAGCTTGATTCTCCGGGGAATTCATAAGATTGCTACAGTTAGCATGTAGACGCATTGCTGCACTGTTAGCACTTTCTGAGGAAAGTAGATTCTCGGTTTTCTCTATCTGGATTATCTGCATAGGAAGGACAGACTGTGGATTAACCGAGATCATGGTACCATCAGAAGTATCTTCATTGTCCAGATGGGCCAGTGTGGACAGAGATGAATTATGAAGCCAAGTCATGTCACCTAGCTGACCATTAGCTTCCAGTGAATCGAGATCTAGACTGTTTTCCATTTTAACATCAGAAACATTTGCATGTAGCTCCTCAGCCATGTGGGCCATGTCAGCACTTGTGTTCATTAGGAAGGCATCCAAGTCACTCTTGTCCGAGTTGAGGAAGAGTAATGGGTCATGATTTCTCTCAGAGAAAGAATCCATGTTTTCTTTTGTAACTTCCAAGCTTCAAAGAACAGGAACAGGTAGAAGTTCTTTAATCGTGGCAAACCTATATATTTCCAAAAATCAAACCTGAAAGAAGCAAGTAAACAATCGTCAAAAAATATTTATATTATTTTCTGCTGACAAACTAGTAGATAAATAAGCTATATAGTTAAAATTTAGATTCTATTGATTGAAATAATTTTGATAAATGAAATAAATGAAAGTTTGAAAAGATAATTCAGTAGATTGATAAGACAATTAAGTCAATCCATGAAATAGTGTTTATTTTTTCATCAGTGCCAAGACTTATTCAAGTAACTTTTAGGTACTTCTTTGTTCCCTAACAAGGCTGTATTTTTTTGGCTAGTATATATGTATACTCTGCAGATGGTGTGATTATTAAGGAGTCACCTATCTTTCACATTACTAGTCGCGGGCGATTTTACGTACCCAAAACGATAGATTACCCACCTATTTTATGGAAGAGTTTTATCAGACATTGATATCTAAAATCATCCACATTTTAACATAATGAGCATCAGTATGATGGGAGGTTAGTCATGATTAGTTGATTCTAGACTAGAACTACTGTTCTAAAATAGATCTAAGGGCCTATTAGAATTCTAAATTAAAATAATTTTTGGTTTGCTCAATTGGTCGAAAATTTAAATTTTAAAATTAGGCCTTGTCTAGGACCAGTCTAGATCTATATCTAGATCTAGATCTAGGTCTAGATTATGATTAGAGTTAGACTAGATTCTAGATCTAGATCTAGAAAATCTAGATTAGATTCTAGACTCTAGATCTAGATCTAGAATCTAAGAGTAAGATTAAGAAGACTTAAAATTTTAAAATCTTAATAAATGAGTAGACTACAGATTTTCTAGATCTAGAATCTAGATCTAGAAAAATATGAGACATTATGAGATGTATAAATTTGAAGTGCGCGCGACACTGTAAAATAATTTCTGAAGCACACAGGAACGCCATTGATTGGACCTGAATGCGAAAAAAAATCGGGTCCAAGCAAAAAATAGCACAGTGAACATGAACGGGGTTCCACGCACCGACATTTTGTTTCTCGATTCGAAGCCCGCGATGTTTCTACACATCATTAATCGATTGCTTAGTCAAATGCGTGCAAACAAATGCAATTAGAATCTAGACCTAGAAAGATATTCACATACAATTTTAAAAAGCGTAATCACATACTGAGAAAAGCGTCATCGCAGTGCTCTACGAATAAATAAAATTTAATCCACAAGTCAAGGCCGCTCACTTGCAAACGAAAAGTAGAATCGGCCATTTGAATATTAGAATGAAGGGCGGTCGACGAGGTTGCCTCACATGGATGCAGCCAGTCTCGGCTTACTTCGAATAATTAAATATTTTAATTAGTTGTATACGAATCGTACACACTTACCATTACGCACATATCCAATTCTATGAATGAATATTACGCAAGCTTTTGTTTTTACAAATAAATGGTTGTAAACAATGAGCACATGTAGCCTTCCTCATTTCGGCCAATGCGTAAAAGTTGTAAAATTCTCGTTGGTCGGTTTGCCGAACAAAGAAAGGTGAAATTTTCAAAATAGCCATAGCTGATTGGTCGGGTGTTTCCGTGATTTTCAAAATACTAGATTTTGATTGGACAATATTTTGAACAACACAAAACAACTTGTCGAGACAGGTGTGCTGAATGTCAGCTTGTACTTGATGCATGTTCACACTGATCCCCTAAAGTGCAATGATCAATACAATATTATAAAAGGATTATATTAAATGTACAGTTATACGCTTTTTTTCATAGCACGGGATAACTTTCAAATTTCATTTGAAATGTAACTAACAAAAAGGGAATATGTTTTGGACATAATAAGCCTATGACCATATCTTATTAAGTGATACCGAATTCCACTTTACCGTTACAATGTACCAGGGCACATGTTAGGAATAACTTTTTTTTATCTAACTTTTCATTCCCAATTTTTAATTAATCTAAACTAGTCTTTAATCTAACAAATGCATATTAAACAAACCATAAAATAACCGAAACACAACCCTCTAATGAATGTTATCAATCAAGTTGCTTTTAAGCAGCATAATGGCCAGCCATGGGACTATGAATGTAAAATAAAATGCCAACAGTGTAACTTGTATTAGCAAATCAGTTTATTCTGACTAAGCTCTTTAGTTGAAATGTTATTTTATTTGCTAAAATCTTTTTTTTTTAAATCCGCGTGGTTTTGAAAATATTTTGCAGAAACATGTATTGACCAATGACAAGCGTTTTGAATTTTAAAATAGGACTAGGCCTAGCATAGGACCTCCTAACGTGTGGTGTGTTATCGTCACCTCTGACGTATTGCGCTAAGTCATGCGCATGTCGGGTCATGTTGTTTCATGCATATAATTAGGTCTAGGCCCCGGCCTTCAGACTGTAGCGATGTTAGTGTAACATTATGTACCCGGACAATCTAATTTTAGACTAACATATGTTCACACATGTTTTAGAAAAAAATTAGACCTCTGTTTACCAGATCTATTTACGTTTAACACTATAAAGAGAAAATATAAGGGCCATTACAGTGTTCGCCCTTTTCCACATTGCACTTCATTATTATAGGCCAGCCTAAGTTACATTTTTTATAGGTCTACTGTCTACTTATAACAGAGTTCTGTAAGTTACGGCTAACCCAACAGAAGCTTTTTCACTCATAAGTTTAGTAAGGCGCGTGTATGTTTGGGCAAAGCGCTGAAGGCGGAAACGATTATATCCATACCCATAACAGTGACTTAAGACTTTCAGAGGCGTAGCGACCTAATCCGGCACCTTGGGCGGACAATCAATCCCCCCCCCCTCACACACTATCCCCCACCCCCAGTTGGAAAGGTTTGTGGCGCTTCTTACCAGTTACTATATCTATCCCGTAACATTTTCGGTGCCTCAAAATCAGAGTTTCTTCCAGGCATCTCTTCGGCGGGGCAAAGCCCCCCCCCCCCAAAAAAAAATTTTTTTTACCGCCCCCCCCCCCAACGAAATGAAATGTATATAATTTATATAGAAAATATATACTTTTAACAGTGTCCGCCCCCCCCCCCCCCCGAAGAAAGTCTACCGCCCCCCCCCCCGAAAATTTCAAGTGCCCCCCCCCCCCCGGAGAAAAAAGTCTGGAAGAAACCCTGCTCAAAATTGACATAGTAAACAGTTAAATTATTGTGTGAAACCTTGTAGTCGTTTATTGTTTATTTTCGTAACTTTGACTGTGTATAATTCGATACTTCAGCTTAAAACGAGCTTTTAAATTAAATTTTCTACCCCTTTTGGCTTTCCCTTGTGATCGGCGCCCGGGGCGGCCGCCCCACCCTCCCTCCCCCTAGCTACGCAACTGAAGACTTAAATCTAAAGGGGCTCTCAATTTCATAGTGGTCTCGTCTTTGTTTACGGTGTTAAGCAGCCGATTCATTCATTGAAGAAATTACGTAACCCTCTCAGCGTGACACGCGAAAGCCAATTGCCAGATGGTTGCCTTGGGCGATAGAGTCAAACGCGCCAGATAATCGTTGCATTGAGTTTTAAAAACTTCATAAGATAAAACAATTTGAATTGTTAGGTTAGGCTGTTCCTGCTATCTCGATAGCTTTAAAGTCCATATCTTACGCTCGAAAGGTCACCCCTCCACCATTATCCTTTATTTTGAAAAGTACGCCGTGTTGATAAAGTGGATTTAAAAATAAAATGTAAGGTTAGGTAGCTCACGTTGTTTTTTGGTAAACGTGTATGTATGCTAGTCGTATAATGTTATGATGTCCTTATCCCGCTTGTGTTTTCTCTGTTGAAATTTTATGGCTGTTTTATTACTTTTATGTTATAATTTTTATAATACATATGGCGAGAGTAGGCTTTTCGAACAAGGGACATATTTATGTGTCTGAGCTGGGATATTATGATATAAATGATGTTAGGGATCGTCTATAAATGCCGGTTTACCCCCCCCCCCCCCTCCTTTCCCAACCCGCGATATCGAGACAGTCAAGCGCGCGTCTTTTAGGGACAGCCCTTAACTAGCAGGTCTAGTAGTCTAGCGATCTAGTGGTCTAACGTAGTGGTCTAGCGGTAGAGAGCTGGACTGCTAACCCGTTAGTCTCGAGTTCGAATCCGGGTTCAAGTCAGTATACTGGGTATACTGGGTACCTAACTCACGTTAGGGAAAGTAAAGGCGGCTGGGCATAGTGCTGACCACACTATCTCTTCATATGCCGAGGTCACAGAAACATGTGAACTCTACTTCACTTGCCCTATAGACTGCCAGGTTTGAAAAAGGAACTTTACTTAACTAGCAACGCCCACTAGCTACCGTACGACACTTTATTCTAAATTAAAAATATCGCCATTAATTTACTTATGAACTTGCAAAAATAAGACGATAATTTACATGTATTATACCATAATATTAAGTAATCTACTTATAACCCAAATCTAAGTCCTAACCGTATACAAGATGATATTGTAACAGGTCTAACTCTCACCCCACCCCTCCCACTAGACACACAATCCCCGTACCATCAATAGTAGTCTGAGTATGAAAAATAATTCGATTGTTGAGTGATTTTATTGACTTTTTTCCACGTATTTGGGGGGGTGGGGGGTATGTTTAAACCAAAAGCAAAGCGTGAGGACCTCTGGCCTAACTTCATCTGCCCGCCGATCGCGGTGTAAACCAACCTTTGTGTTCACCAACTGCCCGCGGCAAGGCGGGCCAGCGTTTACTGCTAACTTTAATGGCCACTCAATCTGAAGGTTCGCTTGCCCCCTGGTATCGATTGGTGAGGGCGTAACGACATTTGGTCTGCAGGTTTTGTCCCCGAGGTTCTGTCGATAGACATTTGGGTTACCGATCTTTGTTCGACCGCGACATTTTATTTGTCTATGGGTGTTCGCTCTACATTGTCCCTATTGAGTAGGCTGCTATTGACATTTGCCGTTAAAAAGCTAGACCTAACTTTAAATAACTACCGTTACCTACCCTACAGAACATAAAAGGTAGGCTGTATTCTACTTCTCAATAATAATTCAGTTAAGGGTGAGTGTTAGGGAGAAACAATTTCAGGTTGAGAGTTATTATAGGCACGCATGCTGTTAACAGAAGATAACTATGGCAATATAGGCCTTCAACTAGGTTTTAGGAGTAGTGTACATGTTATGGTTCTCTATTTATTAAAAAAAAAAGATCGGTGAGGGGTTTGGCGCTAACAACCACGCGCTCGTATAAACACGCGAGTTCGCCTTATTCTGTAAAGTATATTATTCTTTGGTTATATGCGCCACATAGGGAACATGGAAAACATAAATAGCTACAACAAGATCGCCACTAGTTTCCCTAACATATTAAGGGTTGTAAAATTCATAAATCAGCCGGTCTTTGTAGACTGGTTTCTGTGTTATTAACAAAGTTTAACTACATCGGTAGTCTAAATTATTGTAATGAGCAGGGCCGTATTCAAAGATCTTAAGTACTTATTATGAGAAAAGGTCTACCCAATAAAATGATTTTAACGATTAAACTCACAGTCAAAATAAATAAAAATAAATAAATAAACCAACTTCCATTTAGCACTCACTTAATTTGTAATTATAATTTTTTCTTCTATTGTTTTTTTTAAATAGCAATTCTTGTGCGTTGACTTAAAACATCTCTGTGCGACTTATCTGTTTCTGTATAAAACAAAAAAGAGACAAAAACACAGTTTGTTTTGTTTTCCTATTGTTCGACTTCAGATTTTAAATTCATTTTAATGTATTGTGGTCTGTCCCGAAAAACAAGAAACACACACACACACACACACATGTGTCCGTTGATGCAATAGGCACGTGCCTATACCAACCCTGGTGAGGTTAACTCATATAAAAATTAAAATCTGCCAATGATTTGCAAAGCATAGCACAATAATAGTGTAAGCGGATATATACGGAGTATGACTGGATATGACGGGCGACTGGGTATATATATAAAGCCCAAATGAAGAGAGCGTAGAGAAAAACGTCAGAGAAATAACGGGGGGGGGGGGGGGCGATTGGCGAACCAATGTGTATGGGCTTATGGCATTTGGAGGTCTGTTGTTTGTGTGTGTGTGTGTGTGTGTGTGTTTATTATTTTCAGTCGATCGGTAGGATAATATCATACACAATTAGTCCATGTTTTTAATAAACTGAATACTATGTACACACGTCTGGAGTATACTGTGCCTTTATTTCTTTTTTTTTTTAAATAAATGTTTTGTTTCTTCAATTGAAATAAACAAGAGGCGTAGCGATGGGGGGGGGGGGGTACATATGTCCCGGGCGCCGACCTTAGGGGGCGCCAAAATGGGTTGTAAAGACAAATGAAAATGTCATTTTAGCTGCATTTTTGCAGTTTGAGGGGGGTGCAAATCGAAAGTTTGAGGGGGATGCAAATTCTAAATTTGCTCCCGAGGGGGGCGCCAAATTGATAATTTGTCCCCGGGCGCAGGGAAGGGTCGCTACGCCTCTGAAATAAACATTCCCTATTTTCAATATTGCTAATCTGATATAGTTTATTATTGTGATGCTCATGTGCTTTACACTTAAGTGTTAATCAATCCGCTTTGACCGTAGACCAGTAAGTGTAGGCCTACCTTCTTTCATACAGCTTTATTTATAGCCTATGCTTTATTGCTTGACCAGACTTATTTTACCCACGTGTTTTCATATTATAGCACCAGCTAGTATTTGTCCACCCCCTCTCCCCAAATCACCATCATGTAGGCTTACCTGTATATTTAAACATGTAGACATCGCCAGAGTTTCTTCCAGGCATCTCTTCGGATCAGTGTCCGCTCCCGCCCCCGGGTCTGCCCCCTCTCCCCCAAAAATCTCAACTCCCCCCCCCCCCTCCCACTCGCAGTGTTTCTTCCAGACTTTTTTCTCAGGGGGGGGGGGCACTTGAAATTTTCGGGGGGGGGGGGGGAGACACTGTTAAAAGTATATATTTTCTATATAAATTATATAAATTTCATTTCGTTCGGGGGGGGGGGGGCGGTAAAATTTTTTCGAAAAGGCCTGGAAGAAACTCTGCCCACTCAGAGAAAAAAGTCTGAAAGAAACAGTGGACATCGCCTGTCATCTATAACTTTGAAAAAGAGGGTTAGGCAACGGTTAGAAATATGGCTTGATTAGCAGAATGAATAGTAAAGATCAACTCTTACTCTTTAACAAAAGCATAAAAGGATAGCAGAAGCTATCCAGGGTTTCTTCCGGGCATCTCTTCGGTGGGGGGGGGGGCGGATGGAATTTATATAGAAAACATATGGAAAATGCCCCCCCCCCCCCCCCGGGGGGGGGGGGGGAAAGTCTGGAAGAAACACTGAAGCTATAGATGAAACTATAACTAGTTCAACGCCAATCATTTTTGCCAAGGCGCATAACTCAGCTTCTTGTTTATTGTTGAAGTCCAAGGCAGACTTGAGTCATGGTCCTTGACAATCATTCATGATACGAAAAAAATCAGAGTCGTGGTTCCTGACACTGACATAAAACCAGAGTCGTGGTTCCTGATAAAAAACCACCGTTAGGCTAGTAAACAGACAATAAGCCCAGGATGACATTAAATGTCAAATTCACCACTCGTCTGCTTGTCGAGCGAGAGTATATAGAGGTCAATTGAAAAGAGAGCAGAACGTCAGAAAAATAAATAATACGGAGCGAACCAGTGTGTATGAACGAATGATATGTGGAGATGTGTTCGTTTTAATAATAGTTAAGTTTTTATATTTTTATGGAACAGTGACTCTTTAAGATTAAATAAAGAGAATAGAACCTGCATTCAGAGTGAGCTTCTAGGGTTGATACACTAACGATGGTCAATGGGCTGTCTTTGAAGATTACAAAAATCACAACTAAAAAACAACATATTTACACAAAATACATAAAAATATACCAAACAACTTCAGAAATTGGACAACTATTGCCTTAATCCTACGCCAAAAGCATAATAAAAATAGTATTATCATGGACACTAATCCTAAATCCAATACTACAGTCACAGTGTATGTAATACAGTTAAGTAGATTGGGGGTCATCCATAAATGACGTCACGCTTTTTGGGACGATTTTTACCTCCCCCCTCCCCTCCGTCACACATCGTCACAAAAAGCCAGACCCCCCCCCTAAAATGACGTTACACCTCAGCCTACAACCCCCCTCAAAATTGCAGTTGAATTTTTCTTCAAACATCGATATTATTCCAAAATCTTGTCTGAACTCTGTCAAAATAGAGTATTTTAATCAATTCCCATTGCAATTTATTTAATCAGTTTTCTAAAACGCGAAATAACGTCTAAAATTCGTTTCCTAACATTGCTTTTTTATAATGCAAAAGTGTGACGTCGCCCCATCTGAACCCCCCCCCCCCACTCTCCCCACACATCGTGAGTGTGACGTCATTTATGGACGACCCCTTGACCGAAAGTGATGAGGTTGTGTAAAGGATACGTTTTTTTAATCAAGCGGGTGTACTCTTGCATGTCCAACTACACGGTTATGTCCCTTGCTGTTTAATGCTAGGCCTAGCTCTTCACTGAAGATTCAAACCTACAACTCAGCATAGAATATTTTCTGGATTTTCTAGAAACGTTTTTGCAAGCAAATATTTAAAATATGTTTTACTTGTACCTAAATTAAAATTATTTAGAATGTTAGCTGGATGTTTTCTGAAATCCAATTAACTGCACTCAAACTTTAAAATTATAAATTGAAGTAACTTTCAAATGTTTTTGTATAAAAACAAATGTTTGGTATTGAAGTACATAAAATAATATATAATTAGACTTGTTAAAATAAAATTGGAAATCTGCATACAGTAATTCACTAAGCTGTAAAATTTTATTTGTTTTTCCCATGTGCAATTAGATTAAAAAAAATCATAACCATTTCTGAAGCCACAAGCTGCATTGTTGAAATATTGTCATATGAGAATAAGGTTCTTTTTGTTAGGATGAAAAAGTATTCAAACAATTAGTTTAAATGAAATTATCATCAGAAATATTTACAACACAAAACACTTGTACTAATTAATGTTTATTTTAAACATTCATTTGTAAACAATTTACATTTTCTCAAATTCTGTACATGGTTCAGCTTATTACATGCAATACATATAAATGCATCGTCTCACACATTAATAATTTTATTTGCTAACAGTTTCATCAAATATTTAAATGAATTATATTGGAACATAAAAGCCTGGTAGTTACTTCCCTTTATTTACTTTGTATACCTACTCCTCTTAACTTACAAGAACATATATTCACCTTTGTAAATCACAATCCCTTATTGGAAACTAAGGAATACAACATAATATATCTATTCATCTTATATACACATTTTACTCTAAAATAATATACAGGAAGTTACCATCATGTGAATAGCCTCTTGTTACCTACCGATATATATATAATAGCCTAAATGTGCTTAACTGGTTATGAAAATACATTTTACTTGATTTCCTGTATTATGCTAAAAATTCAGGATGTTTAGAAAATAAGTATTTTATAAATTCTAGTACATTAATTAAGTTGAACAAATTATGTTGTTATTTACATATTTTAAATTGCACACTTCTTCCCTATCGTCAAGGGTGAGGCTAGTTATAAAATACTCTAATTCCATTCTTCCAGTCAACTTTGCTGTATGAGCATTGATGATGATGAAGATCAGAGTCAAAGCAACTTAGGGTTCAATGGAGTACTTGGGGCTTTCATTTGCCTGAAAAAAATTTGTCACAAATTATGGGCAATAGTTGACAAATGAAAATGATTATTTTAGAATTCATACCCGCAATTAGTTGAATGAGTTTGAAAAGCTATATACAGGTATTTAGTATAGAATGGTGGGAAACAAAAGTGGTAATTAGTACAGTGGTTATTTTCCAAATGATGTACAGAGGGTTTTAACAATATGTGAGGTAACACTCCAAGCCAGTTACAAAAACTAACTCATAGCACATGAATTGTTGTTAAGGTGATAGCCTTATTTTCATTACGTGTTGATCATAATTTAAAAAAAAAATCTATCAACAATAAAAGCATATTGTATCCAAATTCAAAATGCTAATAGTAGGCGATTTATAATTTAGCCAGAGTTTTAACAACAAATAATTTTAAATTAAAAAAAAGAAAGAAAAATATAGTTATATATATATATATATATATCAGAATATAAGAATCAGATATTCATCTTATGATTTGAAATACATCTTATCTGCCCATTTATTTTCCACACATGCAAGCAAATGTAATAAGAAATAATATAAACAAAAAAATAATAATTTTCAAGCGAATTCAGGGTATATTAAACAAAAACAGTGACTTAGCTTAATTTTTTTTAAGAAGCACGTGTTAAAGAGATTTTTGAGGTTTGCAAACTGAAAGATGTGAAAACTATCTTAAAATGTATGCTGTTTGTTATGAACAAAAATTGAAGGTGAATGCTACACACTGTGAAATATGGGATTACAGCATTTATAAGATTTGAAAGCATACAGTCAAACTTAAATTATTAGATACACCTGTCAGTAAATGTGACTACTTTAAGAAATTCTCACCTAAATATTATTTGCTGGAAAAAGAAACACAGCTAAATAGTAAATGTACAATTACAATTATAATTCATTACATGTAATTTGCATGCTGAGTGAAAGTTGATTTTTTAACAATTTATGGTAATTTTAATTAATGATGTTATTAACAGAATATTTTTAAATCATGAGTTTTGATATGGGTATGACTAGATGAATTACACATATATATTCGTCAGAATTTTATTAAATAGATAGAAAACACTAATAGTCTATGTTGAAAGAAATTAAAAATTTATTTTTATTTCTCTATTGATTAAGGATTTATTATTGCCTGTATTGTAAAAATTATATTATTATAGGGATCAAATTTTAAAAAACTATTACAAACAAGGGTTTTACTTTATTGCAGAGGCGTAGGGATTGGGGGAAGGGGGGGGGGGACGACATATGTCCCCAGGGACCGACCTTAGGGGGGTGCCAAAATGGGTTGTAAAAGCAAATTAAAATGTCATTTTAGCTGCATATTTGCAGTTTGAGGAGGGTGGGGGTGCAAATCGAAAGTTTGAGGTGGGGGTGCAAATTGAAAGTTGAGGGTGGGGGTGCAAATTGAAAATTTGCTCCAGAGGGGGGCGCCGGGAAGGGTCGCTACGCCTCTGCTTTATTGATTTTATTTTTTGCTGAACTGTAGGAAGAAAGTATTGTAAATACTTGCTATCAGCTACCTGTCACCAGTATTAAAAGGGAGATTATTACTTTATGATCGTTAATTATTTTTTTTAAGAAAACAGACTAGCGGAAATATGATTGAGTTGCAAGAAGAGATCTTTGCATGTTAATTAAGTTTAGATCTGGTTTACTTACTTTTGGGAACACATTAAAATCAGATTCTGTACTGCTATGACTGTTGAATGTACATTTTGTCCAGTTATGACACATCTGTCCACTACAACATGAACACCATCAGCTTCAGTGGCTAAAATAAATAAAGACGTTACAATTATATATATATAACAGCCAAACAATTCATTTACAAATCTAAGTTATTTTGATCACCAAAACACATGATAATAACTGGTTACGATAATGATATTTTTAAAAAATTATAAATACTGGAAAATTCATTTTCATATACTTGGTAATAGTTTCTATAAGAAAAGGCTACAACTGAAAGAGTTATATTAAGTAAAATAATTATTTTTTAATATCTAGCTTTTAAATTTCATAATCAATAATTTAAAATAAAACATTTTTATACTATGAATGATAATGTTAAATGAAGATACATTTTCATCATGTAAAAGATTTTTTTTTAATTCAGTTCTGATTTTAATTAACTCATTACTTATACCTGATTACCTGTATATTTTCCACCATGGTCTTTAATAAAATCTTCAGGTATAATTGGCATAGAAGCAAAATCAGGTAGGTGACCTACTTCAAATAATGATGGCTAAAATAATGGAACACAAAAATAAACTATATTTAAAAAGCAATGCAACACTATTTTTTAGTGGTAAAATATTTAAAAAGGTTTAGAAGATTTTCTTTTAATTTTAAGCATGCTTAGATATTTTAAATTCAATAAAATAAAAATAAAAACAAAATTTATTTGATTCATATTATAAATTCCAATTATAGATCCATCTATAATTTATTACAAAAATATTTGGATTTTATAGTTACAAATAAACTAAAACCTACAGCAGTTAAACAGTAATCGTCTAACCACCAAGATTTTCCATCTTCTTTCCTAGCAGAGAACAAGCCTGCCACACCATGACCAATAGCACAGATGGGTTCTAAAGGAAGTGACACAAATAAAAATATTTTAAAACTGTTTTGTCGGATATAAAACATTAGTCTAAATGAATAAGAACCTTTTTTACTGGACTTAACCCAACAAATATATGTACAGTATGTACAGAAAGACTTACATCATAAACATATTGTATAGTATATGTTTATTGAAGGTTGTAGGTCTACAGTCACAAATTGCTACACCAAAATTGTAAAAAGATTAAGTCTAAAAGCTAGGCTACCTAAATCAATTTGTTTTTTTCTTTTTAATATTTGACAATATCAATCTCATTAGAAGTAAAGTTTTTTTTTCTTGTTTACAATAATTTACTCTACTTGATCACTAACTATTATAATGATAAAGTGTGGATGACTTACTTTTTTCATTAATAAAATGGCTGACAATCTGACCCAGGTCACTGTTTGTTGCTAGATCATGAATAGCACCTGGGCACGCTGGGATCAGCATGGCTGAATAACGGTTCACTGAAAGAAAGGTATATAAACACATTAATAAGCAAGACACAAACTAGGATAAAATTATGTGATTATCTGGGTTAAGTCGGAACAAGGTTCAAGGTATTACTGAAGTACATGAAACGTCAAAATAATTAATAATTAAAATATGAGACTCAATTCAAAGAATAATTCTGGAAAGAGCAATAGATAGAAACTAAATTCCAAATATCAAAAGGTAGAATGATTTTTTTTAAATTACCATCTACGGTGTCTAAAGCTATAGGTGTTGAGCTTGATTTAGATCTAAATTCATTGAACCATCGTCTGTTTGAGTCATCTTGGTTGATATATTCTGCCTGCCGACCCTACATTTTTAAATAGAGAGGCTAATTTTAATGGTTAGGTTTGTTTAAGAATCAATAATTTGCGTAAACTCAACATTATTACAATTTCACAATTAGGTAAAATAATTTTTCATCCATTCCTCTTATTCAAACTTTCATTAGCACAGTAACAAACCATTAACCTTCATTGTTATGGAAAGAGTTAGGGCTAAATTATAACCTAACGCTATCTAAACAGTACAAAAATTACTTCTTACCCCTGGTGACGCCAACTGAATAGCAAAGCTTTGGTTTACCAGAGAACAAGCTTGCATAAAAGAGGCAGCTGATACACCTGTAGTAGTTTGTAAACAATGGCAGGCATGAAAAAAAATTAATGACTTACTATTGACCTGTAGTGTACTTGGCAAACTGTTAATAAAAGCTAATTAAGTTAATGTATATTAAATATTATAGAGACAAGTCACACAAGTAGGCCTAAGAAGCCTAAGCCCTGCCCTATTCCCTAAGCAGATTTAAGCAGAAGCTTATATTTTATTATTTAGTATTTAGTAGTAGTAGTATTTACATATTTATTTTAGGCACTAGAAATAATTATTTAAAATAGGCCTAAGAGTAGGAAGCCCTAAGCAGTGTATTGAGTGTATTGAGTTGAGTGTAACACTGTGTCAGTGTGTGTAGCATGTAGATCTCTATACTATAAAAAAAAAGTATAATGTATTCATTTTACTTTTCTGAAACAAAAAAATCCACACAGCCCAAAACTTACTGAGTTTGCCTTCAGCACCCAATTTAAAAGCCAAAAGCAAACGTCGCGTTTGTTTAAAGTGAAGTTTTAACTAAAAAACTTTAATTATTAATTTTTATTATTAATTAAACTTTCATTTCAAACAAAATTAAGAAAATTTGCCACGCCCACAAATCATTAAATTAAATTTAGATCTAGATCTAGTAGGTAATTTTGAAGCTAAAATCTTTGTCCAATTCACCTATCTAGATCTAGCTGATTCGAACTTTAAAAAATAAACTTAGCTTATATAATATATAGAATCTAAGTAATGATTATTAGAGCTATACCTTCAGCAGCAGAACTGATGACCACTAGACAACTACCCCTTGACGTCGCCATTTTATGAAATCAGTAAACAAACGTCGTAGGGTAGATAACTCTAAATTGTAGTTTAATATATACCCAGAAGCTATAGGCCTGGCGGACAACGCCGTGGGGTGGGGGTCAGAGTTTCTTCCAGGCATCTCTTTGGGGGGGGGGGGGGGCGCATTGCCCCCCCCCCCCCCCCGAAATTTTTTTACCGCCCCCCCCCCCCGAACGAAATGAAATTTATATAATTTATATAGAAAATATATACTTTTAACAGTGTCCGCCCCCCCCGAAGAAAGTTTACCGCCCCCCCCCCGGAGAAAAAAATCTGGAAGAAACACTGGTGGGGTTTACAGAATAAACAGGAGAAGAGGATGTTTTTGTAAATTTTACTAAATTGATTATTATAAGCGTGCTAGAAATATTAATCAATTTGCTTAAAACTCGATCGCTAGGCTGCGTGCTTCGTTCTTCATATAGTACCGTGGTTAGGGTTGCAAGGTGTCCAGTTTTGAATTTGACAGTCCAGTATTTGAGCAGACTGGCCAGGATAAATTAAATATAAATACTGGACAAGTATATGAATAATACTCTGTTACCTCCCTTCTTCTTCTTTGCTGCATACCTGAGAAGGGAAGGATGGAAAGGTGTCCAGTATTTTCGGAAAAGGTATCTGGCAACCCTAACCGTGGTACCAAAGATAACTAACGTAATCCTTGAAAAGAACTTAAGAATTTATCGTTTACCGAAACACGATTTTCCATAGGTTTACAGTTTACAATACATGTGGCAAATTTTGTACCCTAATTTGGACCCCCTTCTAATGCAACGATTTCGTTCCAACTTTTCACATACATTAGTCTCCGTTGACAATGCAAAAATATGTGTTTTAAATCTAATTAGATATTATATTAGCCTTCAAAGTTTAATTTTTAAAATTACTAAATTCAATTATAAAAGGGAAGACAACACGATTAAATGATATAGCGATCGCTCTATCTACTGAACGTCGGCGGTGCATTGTTTTTTTCACGGCTGGTGATTGTTTGCCTGAGCGTCGACCACGGACCAAGAAGGGGCAGATGATTTTATGTTAGAGCTACTTATTGGATTTTTATGCAAATGTTTTAGTCGTAGCCTATGTGCAGATGCGTATCGACCCATTTCGGTGACCGGGACGAACTATCCATTTTGCACCACCGCCCCGCCCCCCCCCCCCCATTTATTCTGTATCTATTCAAGTTGGTGAAAAAGCACCCCCTCCTCCATCTAGTTTGAAAAGGCCGGGACTGTCCCATGACAGTTCAATTTGGTCTCACACAATTGATGTAGAAACACAGTCAAATGTCTTAACTTCGACGATGTATCAGAGGCGTAGCGACGGGGGGGGGGACATATATCCCCGGGCGCCGACCCTTGGGGCGCCAAAATGGGTTGGGAAAAATTAAAAGCTCATTTTAGCTGCAGTTTTGAATTATAAATTAATAATATATATATGGGGGGGGGGGCGCCAAATTGAAAGTTTGTCACCAGGCGCCGGGAGGGGTGGCTACGCCTCTGCGGTGTATAATTCATTAATACAGCTCAGCAGTGGCGTAGCGAGGTCGGGTGACACCCGGTGCGGCACTTAATGGTGTCACCCCCCCCCCCCAGAGGCGTAGCTACCCTTCCCGGGACAAACTTTCAATTTTTGATTTGCACCCCCCCTCAAATTTTTCTCTATATATTTTGCATTTTTTTTGCCTTGGTGTCACCCCCCCCCCCTAAATGGTGTCACCCGGTGCGGTCTGCCCCCCCCCCCCCCGCCCCCTCGCTACGCCTCTGCAGCTCAGTATGAGCTTTTTTTCCTTTCTATCCCACTTCTGCCTACATAGCATCAACTTCATTTAAAAAGGGGGGGGGGGGGATCTCATCAACTATCCCAATAATCCCTGCCAGGATATGTAATCTCCATTTTTTATAGTGTCTCTTTTTAGTGTGAGATTCAACTATAGACACACGCATCTGACAGTAAAATCAGTGAGCGCTCCGTGAGAAAGACAGCTGTTCATGGGGTGTTTTAACTCAATGAATATATATATATATATATATATATATATATATATATATATATATATATATATATATATATATACATGTATGTATGTATATATATATGAGTGTATATATTGTATACAAGCTATATATGGATATGGAAGTGTTTTGACACCACCCTCCCAGTAATAAAAATCTTTCTTACACAACAGGTAGAAATGAATCATACTGGAATAGCTCAAGTTTGAGAGCAAGTGACTCCTACTTTCTAATTTTAGCTTGTTAAATTTAAACTGCTATCTCGGATGAGCGGTGTGGTGGAGGTGGTGGTGGTGGTGTGTGTGTGTGTTTTGCATGGTTTTTTTTTTCACACCAACGAAAGTGGACCAGGGCTAATGCTTGAAAATACATGAGTAGATGAATTAGGAACAATTCTCTTTTGAATATCACGTTTGTTTGTAATAGCTTACATATTAAAAATAATAATAACAATAATGATGTTATTCAGAAAAACAAAAGTGTATAGGAAACAGCTTACAAAAAAGTGAAGTAGCTTCAAGGATACGTATAATTGCTTGCTGACGTCTTAATAAGAAGATCCCGTACATTTTCAAGTACTTGGTATCATCATTACAACAACAGTACGTACTCACGTCTCCGGGTTGCACCTAAACTCAGCGATGTCATGCACTCAACAGGAGGTTTAGTGACTAAATACGACTGAAGTGAGTAGATATATCTAAATATGACTGTAGTGACTAAATGCAACTGTAATGACTAAATACGATTGTACTGACTAAATACGACTGTAGCGACTATATATGTCTAAATACGACTGTGGTGACTAATTACGACAGTAGTGACTAAATACGTCTGTAGTGACTAGATATATCTAAATATGACTGTAGTGACTAAATATGACTGAGCATTTTTTTAAAAAGGAGGCTGTTTGTTGATCAAAGTTTCTTTCAGGCATCTCTTCGGGGGGGGGGGGAGGCTTAGCCCCCCCTCCCCCCGAAAAAAATTTACCGCCCCCCCCCCCCGAACGAAATGAAATTTATATAATTTATATAGAAAATATATACTTTTAACAGTGTCCGCCCCCCCCCCCCCGAGGAAAGTCTACCGCCCCGCCCCCCCCCCCCCCCCCGAAAATTTCAAGTGCCCCCCCGGAGAAAAAAGTCTGGAAGAAACACTGTTGTTGATACATTTATTTTAAAGAGCAGACTAGTTTTAAATCAGTTTCGCGTAAAATGAAACAAAACTTGCATTAAATCTCATAATTACTTTGTGGCGAGCAACTTAATTATTGAAAACTTGACATAGTTACGAATGTCTGAATTAAACTTGATCGCAAAACTGAGATCCATGCCTGTGAAATTTTTCTTGTTTCGTTTATCAGAGGAAGGAAGTTTACGTTACGCTAACTTTAATATATAATCATTCAACAACTGGATCTACAATCTACATGAAAACATTAACCACTTCATAAAGTAAACATCCGCATTTTTGATTGGCGAATCGGGGGGAAGGGGGTTTTATGTTGTTTTTTTTATTGTGACGATAGGACTAAGAATGTAAAAATGTGATAAGTCGTGTGAATTCCATTAGTATAGTTTCCCTTTCAGACCTAATGAATTACCCATAGGGCAGATTAAACGGTGTCATGTCTTTCTTGATCTAACACAGTAACATAACCCTACTCACAATGGGGTCATTGTGCGTAGTCAGTGTGTCACCTGAACTGGTGATTAAAGACACATTTAATTTAAATACCCATTTAACTTTGACATTCTGAATCTAGTAGCTTTTTAAAAGTGTTCTAATGTAACCCCCCCCCCCCCCCATCCTCCTCTTTCCAACCAAACGGGGTTACCCGAGTACATGCCCAATTTCATGCCTCTACACCCCGCAATGAGTACACTGGAGTACTCACAAATACGTCATCCTTATTCATACCACATAAACAAACAAACCCCAGAGTTCAAAATACAACACCCACGTGGATTGATTTCATCAGACACAACACTTGGCGTCATCCATACGTCACGAGCCTAGGAAATAGATCGATGCCAGCTCGACTGTTGTCTTGGCAACCAATGAAAAAAAATAAAAGATTAGACGTGGGTGTGTGTAGATTAGATTTCCTTGAGCAGGCCTAAGACTGTAAAGTCTAAAAAAATGTCTCGAGGTTTTAATCGGTTTCAGATTGAGACGAAGGTTTTGTAATAATTGTATGTTTCTGTTTTGGCTGATTATAGGCCTAGCTAAAATAAAATTCCCACTATTCAAGAATGGCAGTTGCTTATTACGGTCATAGGAAGACGAAATAAGCAATGCACCATGGGGATGTCTAGGAAATAATGCTGTGCTTATTTCCGCCAGTGGGCTTTCAGTGAAATTAGTACTTTGCTTATTAAATGCCCTATTCTCTTGCGACAGATGTTACAAAATATACTTTTTTTTTAAAGTTAAAATTCTTAATCTTTGCTCTTATAAAAATCGTTACTATTTTCTTAAACACTATTCTAGCATTAATCCCAACCCTTACCTCTAACTCCGATTTAGATGTAATGAGTTAAAATTTATCTAAGGAAAACCAAAAACACTTCTTCATAAAAGATACACATTTCATTTATTCAGTTAAGACTCTTAATATTTATTCTTAAAAAAAAAACCCAATCATTGATGATATTTTCTTAGACTACCTCTAACCTTAACACTAACTACTGACCCTTATAACCCTAAGTAAAATATAATGCGTTAAAATTATCATATTAATACCATTTGAACTAATAACAAAACAACAACAACAAAATCGCTTGAAATAATTTGTAAATAGGCCTGATAGCAATATATTAAATAAAAAAAAAATCTCTCTTTAAAATAAAAAACAAATTACACTTCCTTTAAAAATGCTAAAAAATATATCCAATGTATAAAGATGAAATAGACTTTGTGCCTCTGTATGTATATTTGTGGAAGACATGTATATAGTAATAAAAACTCGACTTG